CAAGAAAGATAAACGTGTGCGGGCAGGATGCTGCCCATGTTAGTAGTGTATTTAGCTTGTTTACATGTTCGATGTTATAATCAGGGGGTTTGTAACATAGTAAGAAACAAAATGTGATATTTAAGGACAGTTCACAGATGATGGTCTCAGGAAGAGCAAGCTCCTGGGTAACTTGGATGTTTTTTAGATGATTTTATAGAAGTTAGCAACACCACCTCCTCTACGGATTTCACAATCTGCTCAGTAAACATGATAGTCTCTTACTGTGGTAATGGAGTCAGGGAGAGATGCATTGAACCATGTTTCACAGGCAAATATGATGTTGAATTTAGCCATATTTAGTAAGAGGAGAAATTCAGGTATTTTATTCACAAGGCTTCGTGCATTGAGAAGCTTGCATTTAAGGCCAGTTGTAGTTGGAATTGAGGTAGTTAGGAGTGTGATTGATGACTCTTGGCTATGGATGTGTCTCATTGGAGAATATGAATTATGATTCACCCAGGGGGTGGGGTGGGGGGAAGCCAGGGTCAAGGGTGACAATAAATTATGTGTCACAGAGTTGGCTATACCCAGGTCGTGCTGACATGTTAACTCTCAATAAATTCTTTGAAGTTTTGGAAGTTTGGCTTGAGATTCATGATTTAATTGGAGTAACTGCCAGAATCCTAACACTTAAAATGAAATGATGCCCAGGAGTCCAACAAAGATATTTCTCCTGCTGTGCATCCCCAGATAAAATTTTAAAAATCAGCTGGGATTCTTATATGTTAACTTATAATTATCACAGTCATGGTGTAGTAATTTATTCTTCTGCCCCTAGTGTGTTCGTGATTTCATCTTCTGCCCCAGGATGCCTTTCTGAGAAATATTTACCAACTGCTCACATTCAAAACCTGAAAAATCTGATCCATAAGTACCACCTCTTTGGCAGAGATGGGAGGGTTTGGTTGGAGAAAGGAGGGACTTTGTTTATTTGAAATATGTAGTTCTTTTCAGATCTGGTGCTGGATTTCACTTCTGATAAAGCAAGTGCCATTGTGCCCTTTGACAAAGGGTTTTTTTTAATTGCCTCTAATGAGGCAGCTCTGACATTAACAATAAAACTGTCTGTGTCCAGCTATAGCAAGTGCTTCTATCATGGGATGTCAAGTGTTGCTGATTCTGTTTCTACTGATGTCCCATTTTCCTTGTGGGATTCTGAAAACCAGATGTCCCTTGAACTTGGTAAGAGAGGAAAAATACAATTACTACAAGCCAGGAGATTACCTGATTAGCGGAATTCTCTCTACAGTCAACACTCTATTTCATCCATATGTTTTTGACATGCCACCAACCAACAGGTTTTACAGGTAATTTATTGTGATGCACATGACTCTGCTGATTGATTTTGTCCTCTCCGATGTTCTCTTTCAAGTATGGAATGCTCTTTCCTTCTTTTTTTAAAAAAAATAAACTTTATTAAAGATTAAAAAGAAAAAAATATATACAATGTGAAAGATATGTTTTGTTGCAAACAAAATCAATATATAAATACAAATATAAAACATATATGAGCTAAGATGGTTTGATCTTTTATTCAATTTTTTTTTTACTAATATTCATATTCTATTTTGGTATATACTCTTAATCTAACCACTTCATTTTGCAAATCTTTTAATTTCCTAGTTTTTCTCCTGAATCCAATTATACCATTTTTCCCAAGCTGTACTACATTTGGAGTCTGCCTTATCCCTAAGTAGGTCCATTTCAGCATAGTCAAGACCTTTCTGAATTATCTAGTTATTTGTTGGCATTTGGTCACCATTCCAACATTGTGCCAACACCATTCTTGTTGCTGTGATTATATGGAGAATTAAGTATTTCGTTTCTTTTGCATAGTCCCCTTTTAACATTCCCAACAAAAATATTTCAGCCTTAAATTCTAGTTGTATATTTGTAATTTCTTTTATCCAAATTCTAATTTTTTTCCAGTACTTTTTACTTTTTGGGCAAAGCCACCAAGCGTGAAAGAAGATACCCCTCATTTGCTTTCATTTCCTGCAGGCCGGATTTAAGTTTGGATACATATTCGCTAACCTTTAAGGTGCCACACATACCAGTAACACATTTAGTATTGGTTTTCTTTATAAACAACCGATTTTGTTATTTTATAATTTTGTTTCCAAATTTTTTCCCAATCTTCCAGATTAATGTTGTGCCTTACATTCCTTGCCCATGCAATCATTGGGCCTTTAACTATTTCTTCTGCCATTTCAAATTCTAATAGATAATTGTACATTTTAGAAATTAATTTTTCATCTGTTCGCTCTAATGTTTTATCTAATTGGTTTGGTTTTACCTCAATTCCAAATTCTTATATATCTTTTTTATATCTCATCTTAAGTTGTAAATATGGCCACCACTCTATTTCATCCCTTGTTCTCTACATTCTTGGTTCGTCTTTAATCCTTCTTGGGAGTTTAGGACATCATAATATCTAATCTTTCTTCCGGTTTCTAAGGCATTGGGGTGGATCAATGCCTCCATGATGGATACCCACCCTGGAATCTGCATAAAATGTTTATGTTTAATATCTTTCCACACTTTCAATAATGAGCTTTGAATTACATGCCTATTAAAGTGTGTATATCTCTTATTTCCAGGGTTCTACATGAAGGCATGCCACTCCGCCTCTAAGCCATGCCCTTCTAGGGTTAAGATTCTTTTGTTTCTCAGATTGGCCCATTCTTTAATCCATGTTAAGACTGCTGCTTTATAGTACATTTCCCAGGTGGAGAGACCAAATCTACCTCTGCATCTATTATCTTGTAGTGAGCTTAATTTTATTCTCACTTTTTTTCCTGACCAAATAAATTTCATGGTAATTTTGTTTAATTCATTAAAGAACTTTTTATCTAATTTAATTGGAATGGTTTGAAAGAGAAATAGTATCCTTAGCAGGAGGAACAAAGCATTGGTATCACACAATGGACTTTAAAAGGCCAAACTTTACAGGTTCCTTTTAAGCAGTTTGAGAGCCAGCATCAACACACACAGCTTTGGCAGTATTCTCATTAAATAATTGCTGAATAGGTGGTGTCATGTCTGTCCACAAAATGACTATCAGGGTGGAAACAGTGTTTGGCAAAAGACAAACTTATGAACTTGCTCACCCAGATTTCTATTCATTCCCTGCAATGCTCTCTCTGATATATTTTGCTGTATAATATCTCTCACTCCAGAGGTGGGATTCAATTTTTTTAACAACCCGTTCTGTGGGCATGGCTTAGTTGGTGGGCATGGCTTGGTGGTCATGTGACTGGGTGGACATGGCTTGGTGCTCATGTTACTGACTGGGTGTGGTCAACTCAATATCACTCACATCGAGGCACGCATCTCCTTGCCTGGCCTCTCATGACTGTGGGGATGCTGCAACAGTTGTAAGTGTGCAAAATGGTCATAAGTCACTTTTTTCAGTGCCATTGTAACTTTGAATGGTCCCTCCACATAAGAAAAGTACCAGCAAAGGAGGGGAAAAAAAAACTCCAGAGAAGTTCCAGAGACAGGAAGTCTAGTCCTGCCAAGAATGTAATAAGGGTTAACGGAGAGGCAGTTTCGGTAAGCAACACCAGAATGTTTCCTTCCTGCCTTCCTTACAGGGTTAGGCCAGTAATTTCTTCTAACAACCAGTTCTCCAAACTGCTTAGAATGCTTACAACTGGTTCTAGCGAATAGGTGCGAACTGGTAGAATCCCAATCCCAATCCCAATCCCAACCCCTCTCTCTCCATCTCCCTCCCTCTCTCCTGCCCTCTATGTCTCTGTCTCTATCTCATTTAATTCTATCTCAATCATCTATAATTTTTTTCCACCTATCATTTATCATTATCTATCATTTTCTATCATCTATCATCTCTCTCTCTCCTTCCTTCCTTCCTTCCTTCCTTCCTTCCTTCCTTCCTTCCTTCCTTCCTTC